CAATTAGAATTTATTCATTTCTGCAAATTTTGCATGTCTACTGTAGGTTCTAGGCCCTGGGCTAGGTGTTAGGAATACAGAGATAAATGATATAAATTTCATGCTCTTGGAGCTGGGCCACAGTTCAGTGAGGGGGATGCAACCCACAAAAATTTGTAATGAAGTATGAAAATTGCTCCTTGTAGAGAATTGTATGGCATGCGGTGTTAAGTCTGGGGAATTTGTAAACTTACTTAAATCTTTAAATTGAGTTAGACTCTGGATGAATTTATCAAGTGAGAAACACATAAATATTATTTATTTATTCTGAGGTAATAGATGGAAAAGTTGATGAACTAAAATTCATCTCTTGCAGCCAATGGCCTTCAGCAAAGCCAGTCTCATGTGCCATTATTGTTCTTGCACATTCTTTATGTTTGAGTCATTAACATTGCGTTTAGGTCAGATGAGAATGTGTTCATCTGCTACGCTTTGATAACTAACTAAAATGCTGATGGAGATCATTTAAGATCGTCTCTATGCTGTTGATTGCATGCTTGTGGCTCATAATCAGAATGATGAAAACTAACTGTTAGACCGACTTGCCAAGGCTACATTTTGTGTCCCTGCAACTGTCAGCACTTTGGTCCTGCTGTTCTGCCTGAAGAACGCTTGTCTAGCACCTGTCGAATGGCTAAAGCACAACTTACTACTGAATGTCATAGAAAACTTTCGTTTTAGCATCCTCGCTTCTACTCCTCTGAGAGATAACCCCAAAAAGTAGTATCTGATCATTGAGAGAAAGCATGTGCTTATTTTTTGTGTTTGACAGACTCCTACATACTGCGATGTTCATCTAAAAATCCACAAGCATGTTGCCATGATGTTCATCTCTTTTCTCTTTAGCTGTGAAACAGACAAACCTACCTTTGAATTCTTGCGTTGTCACTTATTGGATATGTGACCTTGTATAGCTTACTTGTCTTGAACCTTGTTTTTGTCATCTGTACAATGAGCTAATAGAACCTATTTTACAGAGATTTTGTGAGGATTAGAGCTAATAAATAGAAAGTTGGCACAAAATAGCCACTCAGCAAATGGTAGTAGTTAATATTAAGGAATTCAGTGCTTACTCAGGATGATGCTATACAATGGCAAGACAAAATTGTCCAAAGTCTATAGTTCAAAAATATATTGTAAGTGTGGAATATAGAGTATCAGCAGTTTTTTTTGGGTAGGTCATATTTACTGGAGACACACAATCGGATGAGGATGTTAGAATCTAACCCACAATTTTTTTAAAAGATTTTATTTATTTTTATTTATTTATTTTTAGACAGAGAGAGAAAGAGAGGGAGAGAAACATCAATGTGTGGCTGCTTCTCGTGCACCCCCTAGGGGGGACCTGGCCTGCAACCCAGCCATGTGCCCTGACTAGGAACTGAACTGGTGACCCTTTGTTTCGTAGGCCAGTGCTCATTCCACTGAGTCACACCAGCCAGGGAAAACCCACAATTTTTATAGCTAGGCCTGCAATGCAGAATGTGTTCTCAGCCATCCTGTGTAGACCATCAAAGGATGCAAAGGTCCTTTTGAAAGCAAATCGAACAATGTACATTGTTTAGTTTTACTGCACAACAGAGACCTTATATAGCGCACAACACAGCTTGACCATCTAGTTCTGTCTCATGGAGAAGCAGTGACCACAAGAGAATTAAGCAAAGCAAAAACTCTGTTCGTGTAAGTTCATTGTTAGATCCAGGGACATCTCATTGGCTTCTGAATTGTACCATCAAAAGAGATCCATTAAGAGTAGCTCAGTCCATATTCCATGTGAAGTGAAGTATCTAGTGTGAGTTGTTAAAGAGATGCTTTCTCTGATTCCATCCGATGCTAAAATTTAAGGGCTGTCTTCTTATCTCCTAATCTGATTCTATTTCCTATGGACAAATAGAACAAAACAAGTCTCTTTTAAGAGCATGAACCCCACCAAAAATTGTCAGTTCCCCTAAAAATTGCATACACTAGACAAGGTATAAACTTTTAGGGAAATTTGCTGGGAGGTAGCATGTGAAGAGGTTATCTCACCTATTCATTCATTGTAAATTCTGGTTTCAAAAATCAAACTCTGTATTTCCCTACTTTGTTTCTCTACTTCTGACCTCTCCAGGATTTCGCTGCTGGTGCCTGATTTGGCATTTCTCTGCTGCCACAGCATGTCCTGTCTTTCTTTCTCTGCATCTTTTTGCTCATCTCCCCCTCCTGCCTGCCTACTCATAGGAGCCGCGTTGGCAATACTTAGAAAGGGTTAGTTGCATTCATAACAGGAGGAGGGATTAGCTCCACACTCTGCTGACTGTGAGGATATTCACTGTCCCAGCCTCCCGCCAATAGTGATAATTTCCTAAATGTTGCCAGTCACTCACATGTGTGGGTATAGCACAGTCTTCTCAGTCAAGTACAAAGATGTGCCATGCAGCTCAAACCGGCACAAATGTTATACCACAGCAGCCATTCTCTTTGAGAATGAAATTAGATTAGAAATATTACAACTGCACAAACACTCCAACTCTTGATATCTTCTAAATATGGTGAAGCTTGGTTTGTTTTTTTTTTTTTTTTAAGGTTTGGAAGTTCATATAATGTGATGATGATTTTAAGGTCACTCAAGAATTTATAGTTTTCCGTTTAACTTCCTCTGTAGCATTGAGTAAATGCACCATCATCAGACTGAAAACAGGGACACTTCCTTAATTTTAGTCTCGAGGTCTCATACTTGAAATAGGCATCTCTGTCCATTGTTAGCCCTAGTCTTTAAGATTCTGTCCCCTCTTAATATACTGGAAACTCACTGAATATTATAATTTGTGATATTTCCTGTGTATAACTGCTAGTTAGTATTCTTCTGAGCTACTCCCATTTAAACCAAAACAATCTCTGTTGTTAACACGTCTTATGTTTATACAATCTGCCTTTTGCAATCTTGACGAAAATATAGAAGAACCACATGCTACCTCACATATAGTCTCTTCTCATAAATGTGGGATGCTTTGGTAGATTCTGTAAATTCAACAAATACATATTTAATGTTTCCTCCTTTCAGTGCAATACTCTTGCATGTCCTTAAAAAGTTATGATGGGGATGGATGTATTGATATTAAAAAGGTTTATACTATATCAAATAAAATGTTTCCAGACTGCAAAACAATATGAAGACCATCATAGTATATCATGAATAAATTGTATGTATGTATATAACTTTACTTACTTAAGGATAAGTCTAATACACTGTGTGTGCTTGCGCATGGGAGAGAGCCTGCAGCCGTATATACCAAAATGTTCTTAGTAATTATTAATGGGACTTCTGCTGATTTCTGTTATTTGGGGTTTTCTCCCTTATCTACATTATCTAATTGTTCACAGTAAACAGTTCTACTTTGTTCTCATTTTTCTTAACTAATTTGGGGGAGAGTGGAGAAAAAGAATACAAGTACTGACATTTTGATAAATTATGAATTATGAAAATCTCTCCTGTGTGTTCCTTCTCTAGGAGTACAGATATGTAGACATGTTGTACCACATGGCATTAAACGTTTTTCTTTTTAAGTCTCTTCTACGTGCCAAGCACTGCACTAGAAACTTGAGACATTGTATGGAGTGGGTATTATTATTACCATTATGCAAATGAGGGGAGGGTGCCGGGAGTTTATGTAACTTGAATCACACAGCTGTTACGTGACTGAGCTGCGATTCAGAGTCAGGTCTGACTCCGAAATCAGTTTTGTGGTCTTTATGATTCTTTCTGTAGACATCTTGTCTGCCTTTAGGATGAAAAGGTTAATGTATGTGAGTAGATTGTAAAGTGTTGCTTTAAAAATAAGGTGCTCACAGATTTTACCGGCGCGTACCATCTTTCAGTGCTTGTTGTTTCCCTGTCGTGTTTTCAATTAGAGTATAAACGTCTCAAGAGGCAGAATCTCAAGCCAGTCAGTAGCCCCCCCTCACCTGGCACGGGCTGACAATATAGCTGGTGCATTCTCTCTGGGACCGTGAGGCGTGCCTTTCAGGCTCTGAGAAACTGAGGCTGAGAATCTGCTGCCAGTGGACGTGCTGAGGAGAAGACTCCACATACTGCCCTAGTGGCCAGACCTCTCTCCCTTTTAGCAAAAGGGAGGAAGAGCAGTGGCCTTCATAGAGCTCATAGATTTACTCCCAAATGCTTTGAGATCGTGTGAAAATTGCCTGTCTCAGGATCTGGACTAGCTTTGCCTCACATCCCCTTCTAAACCTGCAAAGGCATCTTTGAGACACTCTGGAAATTTTTTAAAACTTGGATCTTGAGCTTGGTTCCTTATGTGATACAGATTACACAGTCTGCTGCTGTCACTCCCTTATCTCCCTTTGTCTTTCAGGCTTCCTCTTCCAGCGTGCACATCATCTCGGTTCTTTCCCACACTTTATCTCAGACACCGTGGCTTCCTCACGGGATTACTCAGTCCGCCTGATATGTGGCCCCCAGCGCCTCTCTGCCAAGTCCACATTCCCATCTGAGCCCAATTATAGGATCCCTGTGGGGTCGTTGACTTCAGTGAGGGATGTGTGGGTGGGTCTACCATCTGGGAGAGGGCAAAGTGCAGTCATGGCGTACTCTGGTTACTTATTGATATGTCTTCAGTTTAGCTGCATGGCGGGGATATGGACATGACATTTTAAAATACCACCCAAAAACTCATTTCTCAGGTACCTCAGTATACTTTCCTTCATCACAGGCTCACATCTCTTGTGATAAAGGAATCACGCATATGATTGCTTTTGGGATATTAATTGTTCAAAGCTCTGTTTTTTTTTTTAAATTCTTGCATTGAGCCACACCGTTATACATCCACTGTTCTTCAGACATTTACTGTGCACCTAGTAAATGCCAAAGCGCCAGGGTCTAGGATTTCTCAGTCTCTAGGCCTACGTACCTGTGCTGAGTTACAGAATGGACTTAATGTTGTTTAAATCTTTTTCTGTTCCAGTTTTCCAAAGAAATTAGTTCATTTTCTGGGTGCAGAGAAACCAGTCTTCTGTCTTCATAGGGTGAGTGATCCTTTGACTCTTTTATGTATTTTTACCCACATCAAAATCTTATCCAGCTGCTGCCATGCTGTAAGGAAAAGGACCCGATAACACGCCTTCTCTAGAAGTTTTCTTCCCTTTGGAACCAAGATGTTCTTCTACTCGTCACATCTCTTCCTCCCTTCAGAGGGGGTGCTTTCCCTCTCATATTTTTCTGCGTTTCTTTTTGCTGTTCACACGTGTTGCCTCTTATGAGTTGCCACCATTACGGCTGTCACCTTCAACAGCTTGCAGAGAGGATGACAGAGGAAGCTTCTTTTTTTCAGTGATTGGTGCACAGAAACACAGCCATGGGCAAGGGGAGACTGTTTTCTCCACACGGTGCACCGTTTCGTGAATGTCCTGACAGAGAGAGCGCTAGATGGGACCTGAGAGCTCATCTGGCAAAGCCCCTGTGTACAGACAGCTGCCAAGGCCCAGAGGGCTGCACGCCCCTGTTCTGAGGGCTTCTCAGACAACAGCAGAGCTGGGATCGGGAGGGAGGCATTTGACTCGCAGCTGCGTGGTCTCCCGATCTCCCTGGGCCCCTCCACAGAACTGTCTTTTGAATCCCAGTTCCTTCTGAGAATCCAGAGTTATTGGTGGTTGGACTTGAAGTAATACCAATAAACTAATGACAACATCCCTTCAAGGCAAGTGTCAGGAGTGATACCGTTTAGCCGTTTAACTTTCTAGAAACCACACTAGGCTACTACCAAGAGAGGTGGGTGGAAGGGATAGTCCCAGAGTGCTTCTGTGGTGGCCCTCCTCTGAGGGGGCACATTTTCCTTTGTACCGTTCCCAGACCACTGCATTTGCAATGCCTGCCGCATTATGTGGGGAGACTTGTGGCTAAATCTGTGTTGCAGCGAGAAGCCGTGATGCAGGTGTGCCCTGGCCAGCTGCAGCCCTGCACGCCCTCGCTCAGGACTTTCTGCACCTGCAGGGTACTGCCTAAGAGCTTTCTTACAACATAGTGTAAACCTGGCCTGCCATCACGCAGACTTTCAGAGGGACATTTCTTCATTTAAAAAAAAACAAAAAGCTGTATTGTTTTTAACATAAGCATTCAGTTGTGTGATGTGATGGAGAGAAGTGTGAGAACACAGTTCTCCACTGGAATCCCAGAACGTGGATTTGCCTGTGGTTCTGTCAAGGATACCTGTGCTAGATCTGGCTCTGGATCGTGGTCATTTAGGTTGGCAAGCTAAGCACACTTGTTTCCAAAGCATTTCATGTGACCTGTGGGATGGGCTTCAGCGTAGTACTGAGAGCACGTGTCTACTGTTTTATCCCACTTGTCAACTTAATCATTGTACCCTAACAAACAGGGGCTTCTTTTCAGCCCTAACCACAGTCATTTTTAAGGAATCTGATGTGTCTCTTTATAATGGTACAGAGATAGTCTGCTTTCTACCAATGTCCTGAATGGAACTGATTGCTGATTCACTGACTTATGACTCTAACATAGACCTCTCCTGTCCCCATATGCTCGGTATGCATGAATGTACATTCATTAGAAGTGTGAACCTAAGGGTTCTGATTTTCTCATCATACCCCAGAACAGCCCAAAAGGTTTATCCTGAGAGCACAGCGCAGAATGATGTGGTTTGTTGAGATCTGCTGCTCTCTGGGAGAGCTAAGGGTCTCTGTGGCATCAAGAGGTTAATAAGACTAAAATAGAGGACCACTAAGGACCTTAGCCAAGTGAGGAAGTGCCAGACTTCATGCCTACTTATACTGTTCTATTAGTAAAGAATGAACTAGTAGAGAGGGGTCTGAGCTACGAAATGGTAAAGGGATAGAGTAAGACCACTTGAACTGAAGCTGGCCACTTGGGGCTCCGCTAGGGTCATAAGTTGTTTGGCATTGACAGTCAGGAGGCATCAAATTATTACCCAAAATATAGGACGAGCTATTTGCTTCTTCCAGTGGCAGGGGCTGGGGATGGGGCTAATAAACACAAACCGAGGCCATGAGTTTCTTACTTAAAAAGCAGCTGTGAGGCTGGTCCCCACACTCTCTGTTTGTGCCATGTAAATCCACATGCCACATGCATGTACACCTTGTAAAACACAAGTGGCTGGGCTCCATTTCGTGGCATGCAGCAGGGCTGGACCTTGAAACAATGCTGCTGTTGTTCTTAGCTAAGTTTGCACTGTGCTCACCATCAATAGTATCCCTTTAAGGGAAATCTAGGGAAATGCTCTTGCCAGCGCTGAGATTTTATTTGCCAGAGGCCAAGTAGCAGTGGCATGTATTGGTTCCATAGCAACATGTCTGTGCAGCCAGAAAAAATACAATGACTGTGGCAGCCAGCATATCCTGGGCAGGACAAGCACAGCCCTGACACCCCCTTTTATTTTTCCTCTAATCCTGGCCTGCCTTCCCCTCCTGTAGAGCGTGTGGACTTCGTAATTGTTACCATCTATCCCTGCTATTAACACTGGCCTCCTTTCTCCCTGGAGCTTGGGACTTGATGAGGGAGAAGGCAATGTCTGTAGTAAAATTCTGCAGGCCCCTGGGTGTGCCAGCAGAGCTGGCAGAACCTCCCCGCCTTACTGAGTGAAAGTAGATGGAGAGTCTGTGCTTTTCATCCTCCCTGCAGCCGAGCTGCTCTGTGAGAAGGCACAGTGGGTACAGCGTTTCCTGTCCAGTGCAGTCAGCTGCTCCTGGCTGGATCGTGGGCAGTGAACCGGAACGGCGTGCAATCTGGGGAAAGAGAGTACCCATTAAATGTGCTCCACAGATTCAGGAGGCATCTACCAGTGCCGGGCCCAGCAGGGCTGCCAAAGAGGTACACCGCACACTGCGAGTCTCCTAGGAGCTTCTGCCCAAGGTTGCAGTTTCTAGTTGCAGTTGCTCCACTGTGTGTAGTTGGGGTTTTAGCATTTCTCTCGCCTGTAAAATCCTCCATGTACTCATTCTTGATTTCAACAGAGGCTTTTTTCCCTGAACTTCCAAAGCATCTTTTAAAATCTTTGCCTTCCTCCTTGACACTTGTCTTGGATTTCCTTTTTTGATGCATAATGCTTTGAGAGCCTGAGCTATCTTTCTAGGTAGAGGAGAAGGCCTTCAACGTCAGGAACTATATATCTTATGCTTCATCTTTTTTTTTTTTTTTTAATTTCTCTGATACTCAGAACCTGAGCCCTGTAGATAGTAACCATGCCATCAATATTTCCTATGAAAACAATATAGCCCCAGCCTATCTCATAAGGAAGTTGCAAAGCCAGTGTGTAAATATGTTGAAAATGTTTTAAAATTCTTCAGAGAAAAGAGAAATTAAAAAATTCTTTATTCTAGAGTGGTTTTTGAAAAACATGTATTCAATAGATATGAAATCACAAGGTAAGAATATCTAAAGGCTTCACAGTTCCTCGTCTTCCTCTTTGTGGCTACCAGCCATGAACTGTGTAGCCTGAATTTTTACACTGTCACTGAAATTGCTCTTTTCCCCACCCCTGTCCCTCAATATTCACTTCTTCTGTTGAATTTGCCTTATTACACTATTTGGGCCAGACTTTTCAGTCAAATACCTAGCAGTATCTTTGGAGCTATTAAGTAAGAGATGTGAAGGATTTTTCATTAAAATGACAGGTTTGATAGATTCGGATAGTGGTTCCTAATTTAGTTTTGAGGGGTCTGTTGGGAGAAGGAAGGCTTTTATTGTATAAAAACTTTTATGTTAAGAGTTCTCCTCCCTTCCCAACTTCTAAGCCAACTGAGAAATAAGACAAGTGTAATAAGGCAGATGGAGGCCAAAATGAAGTTTTTTGACTGATAACAGTTAACTGAATTAGAAATTGTATCTTGGGTTGAGAGCCAAAATTGGGCTTCTCCCTCCCTATTCCCCAGTCTGAGCCTGGTTAACAGCTCACCTTCAGGAAAGTTTTGAGTCTCCGAGTAGGTCCCTGTGTGTGTGATGAAAGAAGGAGAAAGACACCAAAATCCATCCCCAGCTCCCCATTCCTGTGCTCAAAATTGCAGCTGTGCCCAGTGGCAGGTTAACTGTATCCAGTGGAGTTAACATTTCCCAGGGGGAGGCACAGACCGCCATGTTAGCTTTAGCTCCCAGCCAGTAACTCACTCCACATCCTTGGGAAAGAAAAGAGAAGGGAATGAGAGGCCAGGAGAGTTCAGGGAACGTCTTCTGCAGAGAAAATGGTTTGGCGAATGGAGGTCCCCTCTGGCTCTGCTCCCGTCTCTCACCCTCTACACTTCAGTCAGGCAGTCCACCCCTGGTCTCACTCTAGCCACCTACCCACTGTGTTTATTCCTAGCTCTTTGCTTTGTATATTTGTTCACTGGTTTATTGTTCGTCTCCTTTATTAAAATATTAGCTCAGTGAAAGCAAAAGCCTTGTCAGTGTTATTTACTGCCATATCCCGGTACTTAAAACGGTGCCAAGCACATAGAAGGCATTTGATAAACATTTATTGAACGAATAAATGAGTAACTATTGTTTTCTGCCTCTTCTCACACTCCTTAATTTCCCGGATGTCCTGGTACCATCTTGCCTGGCAGGCCCCTATTCATATCGTAAGACTCGGTTCAGCTGCTTTTCCTGGCTCCCCTTCTTCCAAGGTAAAGGAGCACTTTCTTGTTTGTAACTCACCAGTTGCCAGTTGATGTGTACGTGTGTGTGTGTTCATCCGTGTGTGTGCCTGTTTCCATCTGCTGTGTGTTAGTTTGTGTATTCTCTCTCTGTTATGGTCTGTGGCTCTGGGTCACTTCACTTCACTTATTGGTTAGGACTTCATGAGGAGTTTACTAGAATGTAAACTCCTTGGGAACTGGGCAGCCTCTTTTTCATCCTTGTGTCTCTACTATCTGCCATGGAGTCGGTGCTCAGGTAATAATAATATTAGCATTTTAAGTTCTCACAGCATGTTGGGTACTGCTGTGTCTTGGTGCAGTTGAGTCCCGAACAGTTCAGGGTTGGGGTGCCGACTCCCCCATGCAGTCGAAAACTTGCACATAACTTTTGACTCCTCAAAAATTTAACTACTAATAACCTACTGTGGATCAGAAGGAAGCCTTACCAATAACATTACTAGTCCAGTAACACATATTTTGTATGTTCTTTGCATTATATACTGTATTCTTACAATAAAGCAAGCCAGAGAAGAGAAAATGTTATTAAGAAAATAATAAGGAAGAGAAAATACACTTATAGTATTTATTGGAAAAAAATTGTGTATAAGTGGACCTGTGCAGTTAAACCTGTTTTGTTCAAGGGTCAACTGTACTTAAGATAACTTTAAGTGTCTTACATATATTAACTTGCATCATTTTCACAACAACCTTACAAGATACATTTTTACCTCTCTCTTTACATGGTAGGATCTCACAGCTTGTCTGATTCCATAACTTATTCTCTGCCAGTTCTCAGAGAATGATCGTAACATGAACAAGTGAATGAATGAGAACCCTAGAAGCCCAGACCTCTGTCATTAAATAGGGCCACAGACTGGGAACAACTTCAATAAGTAAGAAATGATCACCTATGATTGCTCACGGTTGACATAGAATCCTGAGGCCATGACTGAAGCTTTATCCCCAGACGAACCTCCAAAGTCTTGTAGCCATTGCTCTTAATGCCTAGTTGTCTGTACCAGTGGAGTGGTATTGGTTAATTAAAATAAGTAATTTTCATTGTATTTTGGGAATTGTTTCCTAATAGGAAAATATTAAATCATCAATTATGAGTTAAACACTGTGTGTAAGGTTCACTCCTAAGTTTGGGGGGGAAATGGGAGGTGGGGTGTGAGTTGGAGGGTGAAGAGGAAAGCCCTGGAGTATAAACCCAGGCTGCTGTAATCAAGATGCTCTAGCCTAGTTGAAGGGGCAAGGAGTGATTACAGACAAAAGTAAGAAAGTTAAAAAAAAAAAAAAGGGGGCAGTAAGTACGAGTACTATCACATGATTCATTGCCGATTAGTGATATCCAAGAAAATGAAAGTTATTGTATTAGTCAGGATAAGATGGGCTTATGCTATAGAAAGAATCAAGCCTAAACGCTCATTGGGCTTAACGAAATGAGAGTTTGTTTCCCACTCATGCTGTGTCCGCTGTGATCTGGTGTCTCTCCAGAACCGCTGTCCTCCATGTGTACCTCTGGGATGCAGGCTGCTTTGATTTTTCTGTCCTGCCATCTAGAAGTCTCCTTCATGATCACAGGATAAAAGAGAAAAACTGAAGACTTGTAATAGCAATTAGATGCTTCAAAACTTTGTCCTGGGAGGGATATCTTTCACCTGCTGTGTCCTAGACATTTCATGCAGCCTTTTTTACAGCTCATATCATTCCAGTCCTCTCTTTTCATTTTTGTTTTTCTTCCTCTTAGTACACACAGCAGTGCTCAGTGACTATTTGTAGGGTGAAAGACTGAGTGAACATAAGAATGAATTTTCACTTATTCCTGATCGTGTTTGTAGCAGAAATGCACATGACAGCTCCCAGAGCCCAGACACGGAAAAATTAAGTCCAACTCAAAAATCTTTACCAGAATTGCCCCGGCCAGATAGCTCAGTTGGTTCGAGTATAGTACTGATATGCCAAGGTTGTGGGTTTGATCCTTAGTCAGGGCACATACAAGAATCAACTAATGAATCCATAAATAAGTGGAACAACAAATTGATGCTTCTCTTTCTCGTTCTCTCTCCTCCCTCAGATCAATAAATTTTAAAAAATTTACTAAAATTGAAAGAGTATTAATAAGAAATATCAACAGAGCTTACGCTAGTTGAGCTCTGGTGAATGGAAAAATCATAAAGATATGGACAGATCAGATCCAGTTTAGTTGCCAGTTGAGCTCATGCTAAAGCCCCAGCCTTCTAGACTTCAGCCCTGTTGTAGCCACATCATTTATTTCCCAGTTCATGTATTTTCTGGTGTGAGCCTGCCTTTCTAGCCCTGTTCTTCCCGAATGAGGTGGAGGTCACTGTCTTCATTTAAAAATTAAGAACCCTAATAAGGAGAGGTTAACCGGCCTAGGGTACTGCCGCGATTCCAGCGCAGGTGCATCAGGTTCTCTCACACTTTTACCTGCTCTCTCACACCCTGGGGTCCTGGCGAACAGGCAGCATTCACTCCAGATCCATAGAGAGGGAGTTCCAGACAGGAGCAAAACATATGCTGAGCAAAACATAGCAGCTGAATGTGAAAAATAAGTTGCAAGCTGTATGTATGTATCAACAGGGAGAGTGGAGAGTTCATAGAGAGAACGTGGGAGAATGCATTGGAAAGGCAGGTTCGGGTCATGCCCCATGCGTCAGCCGGACTCGGGGGCCTCTCAGCCCTGCCTTGCTATGGAATAGCGGGTTAAAAGAAGCCTGAGTGCAAGGAGGACGCATGATCATGGCCCTAACAAATCCTAGAAAATTGTGCTTGTTTATTTCTGGCTTGAGGTGGTAGTGGTGGAGAGGGAGGGGTCTGTGCACTCTGCTCGTTGCTATTTAAATGAGGGCAGGGCCGTGCAATGGAGAGGGGCCCATTTGAATAGGGGGAAAGGGGACTAGAGTGGGGGGGGCGCGGTTGGTCATCCCTGGAGATTTTTCAGCAAGTTGATAATGTGACCAATTGTGTTTCAGTGAGATTAGCTTTACAACTGTGCTCACGGCCTGTGAGATGGTGGAAAGAAAACCCAGAGGTGGGGCCCCGGTTAAGAAGTCACTGCAGGCCTAAGGAGATAAGACTTTGAACAGGGCTGCGGGCGCATTACAAAGGGACAGATGTGGGAGACGCTGCAAGGAAAGAGTTGATCAAAACAGAGTGACTGTTTGAACATAAGAAAAGAGGGGAGGAGTTAGAGATAAGTGATTTTTTTTTTTTAGCCCAGTTGACAGTTGATGGTGTCCTATGGCCTCTGTGTTTTGAGCTTATTTTAGTAACAATGTCATTCTGAGTTGAGGCTTTTCAGGTAGAAAGCGGGGATAGTTTGAGACCAAGGTGAGCTGTCTTTGAGTAACAGCGCTGTCATGACCGCAGCCTTTTCACCTATCTCTTTCTTCCCTTACCCCACTCACCCGCCCCGAGGTTGAAGATCAAATCTTAAACCAGCAGCTAAGATAGTATTTCATCTCCATCCTGGCCCTCTAGTGGAGATAACATGGTTTAAATGCAGGTGAGAGTAAGATGAACTGTGTGGCGACTGCATCTAGCCCTTGGTAAGAGCGGCTCCCCCCTCTGCTGTCCCCTGCTATCGTGACTGTCATGCACAACCTCCGCCCCCCCCACTGTGGCTCCAGGAAATGAGCGGTTGTGTTTTTGCTGGTTGGTCAAGTTTTTGCAAGGTGACAATTTTTCTGAACTTCTCAAGGCCCCTGCACGCTGTTTTCTTGGTCTTTTTGGTCTGACAGGAGAGAGCTAGTTTTGATTTGAGAGAAAGGAGAAAGAATGCTGTTTGGTGCATACATACAGGAAACACGTATTGCATTCCCACTTTTACTTTCTTGCGCTGGTCATGTCACTTGTCATAGGTGTCGGTCTCTTGAGGCAGAGGGCCATCTAACTGGAGAAGCTGCCGGAGCTCCTGGGGTTCAGGAGTCCAGTGGCCCCAGGTGGCGTTCCCCCAAATACAGGCTGGTCCTGGAGAGTTGCCACCAGGGGAGGAAAGAACTTCTAATATCCTGCAGTTCTACTCTGATTTCCTTGTGGGCCTGGGAAGCAGGCAGCTGTGGCCAGAGGTGCAGAAACTCTGAGAGAGGGGAAGGGCTGTGACGTCCCTGTCCCTCTCCCTCCAGTGGCCTTGGCCCTTCTGTCTCTACCCTTGCTGGACTGACCCTCCTCCTCACCCGAGCTGGCATCCGAACAGCAAATGCTGCTCGCTCGAAGCTGCTCTTCCTGTCTGTGAACTCTCCCCTCTCCGTGTTGATTCACAGATAGAGCTTCCAACTTATTTTTCACATTGAGCTGCTGTGCTTTGCTCAGCATATGTTTTATCTTTTTCTCCTTGCCTTACTCTTCTGCAAACCAATCAAGGCAGAGAGCCCCGCTGGGTGTGGAAGACGCTTGGCATTCCTGATCATTTCATACTCATTAAATCACAACAGCTTATTAGACTGATTGGTAAGTCAGAGTCCTTTGAAATAGCAAGACGGTTAGAAGCCTCTATTTTTTCTGAGTGGGGAAAGGGTATATATTTAAACAGAAAGCCTGAACTACTTTTAGCTTGTTATGTGTTGTTTTGCCGGGGAAGGTCGACTTTAATGTTTTATTCCCCCATCTTTTGTAGTTTCGAGTAGTTTCTCACTAGTGCTAGGGACTTTAAACATTTCGAGTCTCCAGTGATATCTGTATTCTTTTGATGTACTTTACATAGAAACTAAAGCAGGCACAAGCTTCAGAGTAAGCTAACCAAAACATCTTGGGCTTTTGATCACTTTCCATTAGAATGAATGCTAATCTTTGCCCTGTTGGATTTTGTTTAAAAGGATGATTGCTCTTTAATGAAGATAAACATGATATTCTCGGTATTTAATGTCTTCTCAACTCAGGAACTGAAAAACTCATACGTGAAATTAACTCAGTTGGCATAGAAGAGATTCTGAATGTCCCAAACATTGCCCTAGCCATTGGCTGAA